TGCTTCTTCCATGTGGGCTTTGTTGCTTCTGAGCTAGATGGCCGCTTGTTTACCTTCAAGCCTTTAAGACCCCAGATGCTATATCTTTTGAGAGCCGGGCACCATCACCTTTCTTCGCCACATTTGCTTATGCATCCATTTGTCTGAGACTGTCACTCTTTATGGAAGCAGATGCCACACCATGCTCCCTCGGGACAGCTGGTGGATTCGAACTGCTGGCCTTGTGGTTTAGCAGCCTAGTGCTTAAGCACTGGGCCACTAGGGCTCCTTTTATGTACACAGTGGAATGATCAGAAAAGCGCAGCCAGGGTTATTGTTGCCAGTGACAATCCCGAGAGCCCTGGCCCCCTAGCCAGGAAGCCTGCCCAAACCCTGTCCCCAGTCCTCGTCACACCCACCGTATCCACAGAATGGGACCGTATTTGCAAACAGGCCCTTCCTGGTCATAGGGCAGACCGGAAATCCAAGGACCGATGCCCTTGTAAGAGGCAGAATATGTGGCTAATTGCCTTCACTACCACAGCCTCTTTTGCCATGAGACCGGAAGAACAGGATGGTGCCCCAGTACTACTACTGGGCATTTAAAAAAATCATTTTATTAGGGGCTCTTACAACATTCTGTACATCAATTGTATCAAGCATATGTGTACATATGTTGCCATCATCCTTTCCAAGACATTTTCTACTTGAGCCCTTGGTATCAGCTCCTCTTTTCCCCCCACCCTCTATTGCACGTTTTGATCAAAGATGCCTGGTCAAAAAGAGAGAAAATGCACAACAGAGTTTCAAAATCTCATGGACCCCAGAGTTTCTGGAGTCCTTGAGGTGGGATGAACCCCTCAAACAATTGTTTGAAATCATCTTTATCATGGTAAGCAAGAAAAAAACTCAAAAAACCAACAACCAAAAAAACAGTCCTTAAAATCTTTTTTACATTCAAACAACAGTTTTGTTAACGAGAATGTCTGGCCTGAGCACTGCGCTCTTTGAAGAACTCGCTGCCTGGGATCAATACTGAAAGCACTGTGGATTCAGAACAAGCCTGTCTTGGAAGGAGTCCAAGTCAGGATGCCACTTAGACTGGAGGATGTGAGACAACAGTCTCACATCCTTTGGACACGTTATCAGGAGACCATTTCCTGGATAAGGACATCATCCTTGGTCAAGGGTCAGCGAAAAAGAGGAAGACCCCTGATGAGATAGATTGGCACAGTGGTTATGACAATGGGCTCAAATATAGAAACAATGGTGGGGATGGCCTAGGACCCTCCATCAGTGTCTCCTCCTGAAGGACACTAACTCGATGGTACCCCCAAAACAACATAATAGAACAAACGGACCACAGCCACTCGAAGGACTAGATGAGAAATTGAGGGGCAGTGAATTTATGCTCAAGGGGAATAAATAACTCAGGGGGGTAAAAAGGGTGAGAAGGTTGGCACGGCTCAAAGAACGTCTAAAGATGGAACACGTCGCAAGGCCTGAATCTGCGTACATTCTGTTGCACATGGCTCAGTGGGTTAAGCATTAGACTGCTAACCACAAGGTCAATGGTTTGAACCCACCAGCTGCTCTAAGGGGGAAAGTTGTGGTCTTTGGCTTCTGTACCGTTGCTGAGACTATGTATCTATAGAAACAGATGGGGGCCCTCCGCTTCCCTCCTTCCCTCCCTCCATCCATCCACACACAGACATACCCCTGCGTGCCTGCCTCTGGCTAGCCCTGCCCCGTAGCCCCCTCTCCGGCCTCCTACCACATGATCCAGGAGACCAGCACCATGGTGGCTTCGTTGAAGGAGTTGAAGAATTGGATGAGCAGCTCCCCGTCAGGACCCAGCTTCCGCAGCGCCACGCCAAACAAGATGGCAAACACCACCAGGCCCAGGATGTTCATGCCCTCCTCCTCGGCTCCGTAGGGCACCTGGGGGAAGGCACAGATGAGGGGTCAGGGACTCAGCCTGTCCTGGAAACAGCTGGGACCCAGTATTGACAAGACAGGTCTTCAGACCCCAACCACCCCCAGGTCACCCTCCAGGTCCAAAGGGGAAGGGGCCCAGGGGAACATGGAAATGGAGAGGCAGCCCCCCAGATCTGCCCTCTCGAAGGCAGACCCCCTTTGTTGATTCCCTGGGTGGTACAAATGTAAGGTGATCAGATTTTAACATCAGTAAAGCGGGACACCATTGATAAAACTCCTATCTTGGCGAAATAGCCACATGGCAGCCGAAAACCGTATACCCTAGTTTGCCGTGCATTCTTTCCAAAAATCGGGACTTTTAAAAAATGCTGCGGGACGTGGGAAAAATTGTTAAAAATCAGGACTGTCCCACCAAAAGCGGGACGTCTGGTGACCTTATAATGGTGAAGCGATTTTCTGTTGGATGGAAACCTGGTGGTTCAAACCCAGCCAGGTGCTTCAGGTGGCCTGGGGAGCTGCCTCTAAGAACTCGCTGCCAGGGGGTGTTTTACTCTGTGAGTCAAAGGTAGGGGGGTTGGGGGGTGGCGCCCTCCCATTGAGTGGGAATCAGCCTGGCGGCTCAGAGGGGCCGCGGAGTCCATTCTGACTCAGATTCAAGACGTCTCCCTGTGAGGGACCACTTGAGGGTACCCTGCCCCCTCAAGTGCCTAAGGCTGCCATCTTTACAGGGTTCAAATCCACCACTAAGTGCCAAGCGGGAGAAAGAAGTGGCATTCGGCACCCAGACAAATGACAGCTCTGGAAATCCTCTTCTGTCCTGTAGGGTCGCTGCCACCACAACTGGGCGGTCAGGGGTAAGCTTGAAGGGAGTGGACTGCTGGTTCTCCCCCCTCCCCCAGCTGCTAGGGGGTGGGGGCAGTGGCGGGGAAACTTCCAACCTTCCTGCCCGCCATTAGCAGCTGACGCCTTGACCATGGCATCCACCACTCAGGATCCTTACTGTGGGAATCGGAGAACGGGAAGAGTGTGTCTACAGATGAGTCCTTATTCTCATAGAGGAAGGAGCCTGGCAGGCTGGGTCTCTGGGGTGGAGGGAGGCCTTCACCCTTGTGAGTCGGAGGTGAGTCCCAATCACATTCTCATCATTAATATTGTTCCCCACTATAGCCTCCCATCACAGTGCTGCCTGAAAGTGACCTCTTACAAGCACGTGGCTGATTGCTGTGTAGCCGGCAGCTCTATCTATAGGAACAGACGTGTGGCCATTGCTCTCCAGGCTCTGGGGACAGTCACTCCCCCTTACCTGCCCCGGGCACTGGTGTTAGGTGACTCCTCCAATGTACTCAGGGACCTTTAGGGCTCTGGTTCTCAACCTTCAGGTCCAGACCCCTCTGGGGGTCGAATGACCTTTTCACAGGGGTCGCCTGATTCATCACAGTAGCAAAATGACAGTGATGAAGTAGCAACGAAAATCATGTTATGGTTGGGGGGCTCACCACCACATGAGGAACTGTCTGAAAGGGCCATGGCCTTAGGAAGGCTGAGAACCGCTGGTTAGAGCACAGCCCACTTTGTTACATATATGCATGCCCCCGGAGAGTATATAAGCCTTGGTTGGAAATATATTCTCTCTCTGCACGAACCTGGCACCTGAAGTCCTGGTGATCCCAGAGGTGAGCACATGCATGCTTTGTCTTGTCTGATGTCTCTTTAATTTTACCCCTCAAGGACACAATGGACCCTTGGATCCATTCGATTGTGGGGGCTGGTACCCCACACCTTACAACACCCCAACGCACCCACTGACATTGATTCCTAGGGACCCTATAGCACAGAGTAGACCCAGAACTGCTCCTATGGATTTCCAAAGTTGTACATCTCTCTGGAGCAGAAAGCCCCGTCTTTCTCCTGTGGGTTTGAACTGCCGGCCTAGCACTTGGCAGTTCAGTGCTCAGCCCACAGCGCCCCCAAACCAAGACCCAAAACAAATGCTGCCAGCCATGCCCATTCTAACTCAGAACGACCCTCCCTGTAGGACAGGGTAGAACTGCCCCTGTACATTTCTGAGGTGTTACAGGAGCAGAAAGCCCCGTCTTTCTCCTGATGGGGTTGAACTGCCGGCCTTGCGACCACCCCCACCACCAGGGCTGGTAATATAAAGTGTCTTCCATGTCTTCATTCGAAAGACTCCTGTGTTCGCCAAGAGTGGGTGGGAGAGGGTGGGTGGGGTCTGGGGTCGCACACCAGGGAGCAAGAGGGAAAGGAAAGGGTAAGGGGCAACAGACAGAGCTTTTCAAACAACAAGGGGGTTAAAAAAATCAAATAAATACAGAAATTGGGGGAGAGTAGATCCAATCTCAGAAGATGGCGAAGGTAGACAAAGGCTGTCATTGAGGTGATGTGTGTGTGGGGGGGGTGTTAAGTAAAACCCACCCACACCGAACCCATCAGTCCTCCAAGTTTTATACAGACATGGCCCTTTAAAAAATATTTCAGGGAAGCAGGTTGCTAGGCCTCTCTTCCAAGGCACAGCAAGGTGAGTTCTAACAGCCAACTGTCAGTGCATCATGGCGGGTCAACTGATGGTACCACTTAGGCAACTCAGAGGCAGGATAGGGGGTGGGAGTGGGGTGCAGCGAAAAGGGGCCGGGGCAGTGGACCTGGGGGTTGACGCCCACACTCCCTCCCCACCCCGGCCTGGCCCTCACCTTAATCTTGGTGCTGTTTTGAATTCCAGTTCCATTCTCAATGGTTTTGTAGGAGGTGGTATACTGCAGGGGGGTGGGGCGGCAGGAACGTGGGAAAGGACTCGTGAGCATCTAATTTTAGAGGCTCCCCCACCTCCCAATTCTGGTGCCAACCACAGTCTGAGCCCGCCTCCCCCAGGCCTGGGCATGACAAAGGAAACCCACTGCCATCGGTATCAGTTCTGACCCAGATGGACGCTAGATCTGGCCTGAGGTTGTCCGTGTCTACGGGAGCTGATGGCCTCTTGTCTCCCCTGCCCCCTCCTGTCCTAACACCCCTCGGCAGTCTCATGTCATCCTGCAGGCAACCCACCGAAATAAGACTCTAACACTCCCATTCTCCAGAGGTGGAAACCGAGGCTCAGAGAGGTCAAGGCACCGGCCCTGGGCCACACAGCTGTATGGAGAATGACATCCCAGAAGGGGCTCAGGGTCTGTATTCTCTGCGCTTGATAGGAAGGGGCCTGTGTGGGTGTCAGCACCGCGCGCCTGCCCCCGCCCCCGGCCAAGAATCCTCTACTAACTGCTGTAAACATGGACACATGTTTTTTACTCAGATAGACACAACCTCACACCAGGCATGGGGGGGCTGCAGCTGGCCATCTCCCGCCCTAGCCCCTGCCCCTCAGGACACCCCTAGGACTCACTGAGCGGAAGGCTGCAGTCACCAGGTTGGAGGGGAAGATATTTCTGCAGAGACAAACATACGGGGCTTTGTTAGATCCTGGGGAGGGGGGGTGGGGGTGGCAGAGTAGTGGGTGCTTGGGAGTGAACCCTGGAAGCTTTGCTTCCAGGCAGTCCCCACCCAAGCTCAGCCAGCGTCCAGTTGGACCGCACACATGGGGAAGCTGAGCTGGTTGCCTCTAGTATCCCAGCCCCAAGGGATTCTGGGTTGGGGGCAGGAAGGCTGGTTTCCCAGGGCTGGCTCTGGCAGGGTTAGCCCGGGCCTCAGCTCCACCCCTCAGCAAACTTAATACCCTGGATGTCTTGCGTCAGCGACTTCCTTCTGGAGAGCTCCGAGCTGAGAGCTGAGCGGGCTGGCCCCTTGGGGGCTGGTGGGTGGGTGGGGAGGGTGTGGTGGCAGGCAGAGGGTGCCAGGGATGACTGTGCGTGCTGTGAGCAGGCACCAGAGCTGCTGCGGCCGCTCTTGTGGATGGACCTCGTGCTGAGACTCAGAGGTGAAAACAGCTAGCGAGTCTGTGTGCCAGGCACTAAGTCGGTAAATGAACTCCAGGTCCCCGCTGGGAGCAGAGGGCTCACCCAGACTGGGCTGTTAACCAAGAGGTTGGGTCCACCCAGCGGGGCCACAGAAACCTGGGCAATCTGCATGCCAAACACCCACCAGTCTAAACACCCCCAAACCCCATGGGACCCAGCTCTACTCTGATGCACTTGGGGACACTGTGAGCTAGCAGGGGACACCGTGGTGGTGAAAGGCGATCATGACAACACCCCGTTGGGATAAACTCACTGCCATCAAGCTGGTTCCAACTCATTGTGATCCTGGGGGGCAGGGTAGAACTGCCCTGGTGGGGTTCTGAGTTTCTAACTCTCTACGGGAGTAGAAAGCCTCCTCTTTCTCCCTTGGAGCAGTGAAACGGCCGGTGGTTTCAAACCACTGACTTTCCGGCCAACGACCCAAAGTGTAACCACTGCGCCACCAGGGATCCGTCTCGGGTACGCGCATGTCCACTGAGGCGGCCGCTGAGTGTTTTCAGCCCCGAGCCGTTGACTGGACAATGGTTGGTGGGGACCAGGTTTTCCTTGGCTTGCTTTCCAAAGTTGGTCACCAGGCCTTTCTTCCTAGTCTATCACGGGTGACCCTGCTGGTATTTGACATGTGCGCAGCATATATTCCAGCATCACAGGTGGACACACACACACACACACACACACACACACACACACACGGCCTTCAAAAATTTGAGGCAAAATGGAATTGAAAGATAATGAAAATTTTCCCCTAGGAACTTGTTATAGATATGTGGATACATTGTGTATATATACTAAAGTATATATGGATACATTGTGTATATATGTATAGATATACATTGCATATATACACAATGTATCCATATATACTTGAGCATAAATCGCGTTTTCCAGCACATTTTTAAAAGCCATTTTTGTGGTAAAATTAGGTGCCTCGGCTGATATTCGGGTCGACTTATACTCAAGTATATACGGTATGTGTATATTGTATAGATGTGTACACACACACAGGAGCCCTGGATGCCTAGGGGGCTAGGCATTGAGCTGCTGACTACAAAGTCCTTCCTGGGATACCTTCACCAGCATTGGTATAAAATCAAACTCACCGCCATCCAGTCGGTTCTGGCTCATAGCAGCTCTATATAGGGCAGAGGAGAGCTGCCTCTGTGGGTTTCCCAGGCTGTAACTCTTTGGGGAAGCCGGAAGCCTCCTTTTTCTTCTGCCCAATTGGGATGAGCATGTTTATTTCCATTTGACTGCTCAAAAACTTGTCCAGTGAGGAACTCACAGGACAGGGTTTGGGAGTCCTCGCCATTACCCATATTGCCCCTCACCAATGATGTGGGCCAGTGTGTTAGGGGTTGGTGGGGAGTGGGGAGGGCAGGGTCAGTGGGTGACCAGGCCATGTGCCATGGTAGCAGAATAATGAAGTGTGAACATGCTGGTGCGTGTCCGTGTCCCACGAGTGAGTGCGCACGCAACGCAGACGTGTGTGTTGATGTGACCAGTGAGGTCACAGTGTTTGTCCTAAAGCGGACGAGTACACGGTGGCCTGGGGGTGACAGCTGGTATGTGACAGCTGGGGCTGAATGTTCCTTCGTGTGGCTCTGTGTACGACAGCGGAGGCTTGCGTGGAGCGGTATGAGGTGTGACATCTGTGCCCAGGCGTGTCTAGTCCAGGTGTGTGCGACTCCCTTATGACGTGGTGTGCGAGAGGTTACAGCTGCCTGCCAGCTGGTTCCAAGGCGGTGTGCCTGTGACTGGTTGTGTGACTTGACTCGTTCCACGGCAGTGTGGCTGTGTGAGCTGCAACAACTGTGGCTGAGGGTCTGTGTCCAGTTGTGTGTGGCGGTGCTAGGTGGCTTAGTAGTAACGGCATGCAGCCGTGTGAGATGTTACCGCACGCGTGCGTTTGGGTCTGGGTTCCAGCTCCTGTGGCACGCAGTAGGATCCAGTGTGTAAACAACCACTGTGTGGGTGTGCAGCCCACAGGTGGCCTGTACCCACCCAGTTGTAGTCTGGGCTGGGGCTCCCCTAATCTCCCCGGGCCAGGCGGTGCTAGAGACAGTTCCTGACCAATAGCTTGCTCTCAGTCACTGTGACTTCTGCTTCCACCCAGAGGCTGGGGATCCCTTGCTTGTGACTCACTATTTCCTCCCCACAGCAGGGGCCCCTACTTCCAGGAAGTCCCCCCCACCTGGAGACACTGAATCAGCAGGCTGGGAAGGCAGGCCAAGTGGACCAGGCTACTGCCTCAGGTGGGGGCGGGGGGTTGGCAGAGGTGGGGTGGGAATGGTCCCTTTCTGGGCAGGGAGGAGGGACATGGGATGAAGCTTGATGTGACAAGGGCCTGGTCAAGCGGCCCCGCTGGACAGGGCAGAGGGGAGAGACTGAGGAAGGAAGTTGGGGGGCCTCGGGGTGTGAGGAGCCAGGAGGGGATTGTTCCCCATCTTGATTTCCTTTAGAGTCTTCCCTGGGGTCCCAGGCCCCCTGAATCGTTGGCTGCAAACCTTTCTCCAGAGTCCCTTCAGAGAGAGGGTCCTTGGAGAGGCCCAAGATTCCTTTCTCCCAAGAGGCCCCTCCCTTAGGATCCCTCCTATGTGCCCCCCAAATCCTGCCAAAAACTCCTACGAGTCCTCACTACCTATCACACTCATCTGCGGTCCCCAGCTCAGACACCCAGCCCCCCTAATGGAGAAGTCCTTAGTCTGTCCTCACCCTCTGGCGGTGGATTTCCGCTCACAGCGACCCGACAGGACAGAGAACTATCTCCTAGCATTTCCAAGGCTGTAAATCTTTCTGGAAGCGCACTGCCCCCTCCTTCCCCCGCACCGCCCTCGGCCGACTCTGCGCCTTGAGCCCAGCGCTTAGTCCACGGTGCCACCAGGACGTCTAGCTGGGCTCCGGGAGTCCCAACGCCACGCTCCTGTCCACGTGGCCACTCCCGCCATCGCCCCCAAGCCCGCGGCCCCTCCCCACAGCACGGTGGGCGAGGTCTGACCTTAAGAGATCCAGGAACGAGTCCAACACCTCTTTGTGCGGGGCCGGCTGGC